CCCCCATCCCACTGCCCATCGCTGCCTCTCCCCCCTGCAGCTGGGGAGCCCCATGGCATGGGGATGTAGTGGGTCCCCCAGCTCCCCCAGTTCCCTCCCATCCCATGGATGCTGGCCCCATCAACAGCCAGGACCTGACCAGACCCCACATGAATGGAGAAACACTTTATTTTTGCCCCAGAGGAGGGTGGCGAGCCCATCCCCGGGCCCCGCGGGGAAGCGGCGCAGTCGCAGGGACAGGGGTGCCGTGGGGAGGGACAGCAGGTGACGAGGGACGAGGCTGGCACTGGCTGTGCCGCACAGGGTGAGTTGGAGAGTGGCCGCAGAGTGGACTGGACGGGCTTTGGGTGCCATCACTCCTCCTTGTGCCGATGCCCAGTGTCGCCCTGCTGGGCCACGAGCCCGGCACCGAGCTGGTGCTACATGTGCCAACCAGCAGCTCTTGCCCCGAGGACTCGCCACCCCTCAGCCAACCTGGGAGCGGCCGAGCCGGTTCTCCAAGACGGGCGAGCACCCTGCGGTGCAAATCAAACCAGCAGCAACCCCCAATTAAGGGCCAGGCCGAGTCCAGCTGCAGAGGCGTTTTGGAGGTGGAGAGGAGGGATCCAAGCAGAGACACTGTCCCAAAGAGCCAGGGGCTGTGCCGGAGAGGTGCTGCCACACGGGATGAACCTGCCTCGGTGGCACCCGGCCCTACAGAGCCAGCGTGTCCTTGATGAGCCGGCGCATGGTGGTGGTGACCGAGGTGCCCAGGGAGTCCGTGATCTGGTAGGAGATCTTGTACAGGTAGGGCTGCACGTCCTTCAGGCTGGTGTCAAAGACGTTGTCCACCTCTGACTGGGTGGGCATTTTGGGCAGGTACTCGTGGCGGTTCATCACCTCCACGATGTTGATGATCTTCTCACAGAGCTTCTCGCCCACCTTCTCCCGGCAGATCTGCCGCTCCTGCTCGTTAGCTAGGTTCACCACATTCACCTTGATGGTCCACAGCTCCCAGGGGATGCACTCGTCCGAGAAGGGCCAGCGCGACTTCTTCTTCTGGTAGAACTCCAGAGAGATCTGCCCCATCCCATCGCTGCCCGAGTTGCGCAACGCGTCCTGCCGAGAGAGCACGTGGCCCCGCTCAGGGGGGACCAGGGACTGACCCTCCTCTCGCAGGCGAGGACACGGCACAGCCCGCAGGTTTTTAAAGCTCCTGCTTTCAGCCCTGCTGGGTCCCTATGGGGCTCCTTACCTTGAACTCCCCGACGGCCTTGCGGAGGGTCCGGTCCAGCTCCTCAGAGGAGACGCGGACATAGGCGAAGTCGATGAAGTCACAGTCCACATCCTGGGTGCCCACGGTGCCGATGGAGTAGGTGCCCTCCTTCTTGTAGTGGAACTTGCCGGTGCTGCGGTGCAGCAGGACGTTTTTTGGTGTGGGGCCCCGCCAGCATGGCCTCCTCCACCTGCCGACCCTCCACCGACACCTCCAGAACCTCTGCGCGGCAGTTCATGGCTGGGGCAGCGCGACCGGGGGGTCCTGCAGGGAAAGAAGGGTGTTGGGGGGTTAGTTGTGCC